ATAAATAAATCAGTGTTTTGCTTTTTAGGATAGTAAACAATTAAGTCAGGTGGTGGTGGCACCTGACTTAGCATTTGGGAGGCAGAGGCAGGCAGATCTCTGAGTTCAAAGCCAGCCTGGTCTACAATGTGAGTGCCAAGACAGCCAGGCTTACACTGAGAAATCCTGTCTGGAAAAACAAAAAAACAAACAAAAAAAAAGAGAGAGAGAGAGAAGGAAGGAAGGAAGAAAGGAAGGAAGGAAGGAAGGAAGAAGGAAGCAATTGATTCAATACACTGAGCTGGTGAGAAGAATCCAGATTTGCTTTCTAAGGCCTGACTTCAGGGGCCTAGAGCAAACACACTGCCCCACACTAGGGCTCAAGTCAGGAGAGAGCCAGAGCAGCCTGCTGGCTGGAAGCCTCTGCAACCACAAGAGACTTTGCCCCCACCCCCAGCAGCTGTGTGGCCTCTGAGGTTATCATTCAGGTCAGACTGTCTGGGGACGTGAGAAAGTGTCACTCTCCGCCTCAGGAAACAACCCTGGGACTGACTAATGCCCTTAATTAAAGGGGAAGGGTGGTTTGATGGTTGGCCTGTGTCCTGAAGAGGCTGCAAAGACTTAGGTCCTCTTCCCTAGGAGCAAGAGAATGCTGGAGATGGACGAGCTTTGCCAGACAGTCCAGGGAGAAATCCCAGATCCCCAGGCAGCTGGGGGTCAATACACACAAGAAATGAGGCTCTGTCTGCAGCCCAGGTCACATGAGGGCAAGGCTTGGGAAGTCTAAAAAAAACTTCTGCTACAAGACATTTGCACAACTGTATTAGTCTCTAGAGTGTCAGAACTTATGAAATGAATCTCTCTCTCTCTCTCTCTCTCTCTCTCTCTCTCTCTCTCTCTCTCTCTCTGTGTGTGTGTGTGTGTGTGTGTGTGTGTGTGTGTGTGTGTGAATTTATTGGAATGTTTCACAGGCTGCAGTCCAACAATGGCTATTGTGAATGGAAAGTCCAAGAATCTGGTAGCTGCTCAGTCCCACAAGGCTGGTGTCTAAGGGGTAATGGACGTGCTAACAAGGTGAGGGCAAGCAGGGGAAGAAAGAACCCTTCCTTCTTCCATTGTCATTGCATATGCTTCCAGAAGGCGTGGCCCAGATCAAAGGTGTGTCTTCCTGCCTCAAGATCTGGACCACAAGTATGCCTGCTCTCCATTCCTGGATTGTAGTTCATTCCAGATACAGTTAAATGGACAACCAAGAATAGCCATCACAACTTTTGTGAGGGGTTGTTTGTTTGTTTGGACACAGGGTCCCATCTATTTCATGTAGTTTAGTTACTATATAGCTGAGTCTAACCTTGAACCCAAGGTTTTCCTGCTTCCATCTCCTGGGATTATAAATATTACCTGTCTTTCTTTTCTTTTTTCCTTTTTAATTTTTTTTAATATGGCTGGACATGGTGGTGCACAAACTTAGGAAGCAGAGGCAGGTGAATCTCTGTAAGTTCAACCTGGTCTATGTAGTGAGTTCCAGGGCAACCAGGACTTACACAGAGAAACTCTGTCTTGGAAAAACCATAGAGAAAGAGAGGGACAGGGACAGAGACTAGAGACAGAGACAGAGACAGATTTATAAACATTGGGGAGGGGGCTCAAGATAGGGTTTCTCTGTAGCTTTTGGAGCCTGTCCTAGAACTTGCTCTGTAGACCAGGCTAGCCTTGAACTCACAGAGATCCGCCTGTCTCCACCTTCTGAGTGCCACCAATGCCCAGCTATAAATAATGTTTAAAAACATTTATTTATATATTTATGTGTTGTGCTAGGGCAGAGGACAAAACTTCAGGAGTCAAAACCCCCTTCACTGTATGAGTCACAGGGATTGAACTCAGGTCACCAGGTTTGGTGACAAGTGCTTTTACCCACTGAGTCATATCACCAGCTCTTTCTTGATCTTTTTTATTTTTAAGACTTATTTATTTATTATGTATATAGTGTTCTGACTGCACACCAGAAGAAGGCACCAGATCTCACTATAGATGGTTGAGAGCCACCATGCGGTTGCTGGGAATTGAACTCAGGAACTCGGGAAGCGCAGCCAGGGCTCTTAACCTCTGAGCCATCTCTCCAACCTCCACCAGCTCCATCTTTTCCTTCTCCTCCTTTTCTCACTTCTTTTATGGGAAAGCACCAAAAGTTATAACGTAGATGTGGGTGACTGGTAGACTGCCTCTCCCACCAGCTGTCTCTTGTGTATCTTGGGACCAGCACATCACCTTCTTGCAAGCTTCCATGTTGCCTTGCCATCCATCATGCCTTGTACATGGGGTAGATAATGAAATCAATGGACACTTAGCAGAATGCACAATGCACATGCCCCTCAATAATTAGCCATTGTTGTTATCATTAACTTCAACTCTGTTTGTTGGTCCCTCTCTGTAGCCCTGGTTGTCCTGGAACTCACTCTGCAGACTAGGCTGGCCTCAAACTCAGAGATCTACCTCCTCTCCCTCCTGAGTGCTAGAATTAAAGGCATCATACATCACCACCACCTGGCACTCAACTCAGTTCCTACACTTCCTATGTGCCACACAGTGCAAGAGACACAGATGCCAGAAGCTTAGCCATTGATTAAGAGAAGCTTCTAACTGAAAGTAGAAAAACCATAAGAATCATCTTCTTGGCTCTTGGTGGATAAGTCTGCCCTTAGCCACCTGGATCCCAGGAGTTCTGGAATTCCCATCTCTTCAGCACCCCTTTGCGTTGTCATACTTGATGCTCATTTTGTTAGTCAAGATTTCACTATGTAAACTTGCTGGCCTGGCACAGCAGCTGGAAGTCAGATTAGCCTGGAACTCACAGATATCCTCTTGCTTCAAAGATCTTCCTGCCTCGGCCCCTCAAAGTGCTGGGATTAAAGGCACATCCCACTATGCCTAGCAATCTGTCATGGTTTAATTTCTATATGCTAGGATCCAGGTGCTGTCTGCCTCTGGGAAGGGGTCTGCTTCAGCGGGCAGGAGCTCCTAACACCACCAAGTAACATTGATCAGGAGCTCCTGTACCCATCCAGGTGTATAATCCCTTCAAAAGGGTTCAGAGCCTTTTAAGCTCTTAGTTTTAAGAGCTTAGGAGGAGATATCTCCAGCTGTTTTACTCGGCACACATCCTATAAACTGTAACCTGGCCCACCCAGGTTTCCAAAGCCTTCAGATAAGAACCACTGGGGTGCTTGCTGAATATGCAGATCACCGCACCCTCTCTTGGAATTCTAATTCTGAGGTCTGGAGGGAAGTGTGGAGCCCAGGCTTTAACAAACAGCCCAGGAGACTGGCATCCTCAGGCAAGCCCAGACATGGTGCTCTGCACAGTGGGTCTGAACCTCGACCAGAAACTAAGCTCAGTTCCTATCGAGTTCACCTAGCAGGCATGAGGCCATAGATTCAACCCCAATACCACACAAACCAAGGCACCAGCAGTGTAATCTGAGTACTTAGGATGTAGAGGCAAGAGGATCAGACTTTAAGGTCATCCTCAGCTTCAAAATGAGTTCAAGGCTAGCCTGGGCTACACCAGACTGTTTTGGGGAAAAACAAAATGCCTGGGCCGGGCTAGGATATCAAGATAAGCTTGATCTGTTATGCAAACCGTCGGGACATTTGGTGGCCTGCGACCAGAGGCTTCTTCCAGCCAGTTAGAACAGCTTCTACAAGACCATGCAGGTCTGCGGAGCCCCAGGGAGTCACTGCACCCTCCTAACACCTGCTCACAACCCAGCCTGTGAAAGAGCCCAAGTGTGTAAAGTGCCCAGCACATAGTAGGTGTTCAGTAAATGTTAGCCAGCTGCTAATGTGCTAGTTGGAGGCTTGAAAAGGATGGGATGGGGGTGGGGAGCAGCTAAGGAGAAAACCAGCAATAGCTGAGGAAAACATGAGGGCGGACGTCGGGACAGCAATTTACATTTCTTTAAAAGGTAATTCCAATCCTGCCTTCCCTTTTGAGAACACAAAGCCTAGGATCTTTCCATACCCAAGATTCTCTTCTTAATGACTCCATTACAATGAACTCAATCATTTGAACGGTGTGAAAAATGTTCAACCCCTTGACATAAATAACACTCCTTACAAATATTTATTATATTGAGTCCCGCACAAACAAATAGGACTGATGGGAGTTACTTTGAGAAAATAGAATTCTTCAATTCCATCATGGGCAGACAAGGTGAGCAGGCCTCAGGGAGATGGAGCAGCGGTCTTGAGAGGAACTAAGACCTCCCAGGGCTCGGCCACGGCTGACAGGAGATGCAGCCAGCAGGCCCCAGCTTTTTTTTTTTTTTTTTTTTTTTTTTTTTTCTCTTTCTCTCTCTCCGAAAACTCCTGTAGCAAGCAGGGAAGGGCCTGTCACCACCCAAAACACCTGGGTTAGCTATAGCTGGGCCTCCCTCTGCTCCCCAGGAGGGCGCTTTGGTATTTGAAGCTGACATTTGTCACCAAGGGCCTTCCTCTGTTCTTGCAAATTTCCAATACCCAGTACTTGCCAATGAAGGCTGTACCCCAGGCTGGCCTGGAGCTACCCAGAACAGAGGGCCGCCCCCACCCCAGCACTCCCTACCTGCTTTTGGATGAGCTGGAAAGAGGATCACCAGGGGTCCTGGAGAGGCAGAGTAAGGAAGCCATTGTTGTGGTTGTAGACTTGAAGCCAGAGCTCCAACACACCTCCAGCTCAGCGAAGCACAATCCGTAGCAAGTAACAGCCCGCTATCTCAGCAGTAAGACTTTCCTAGGTAGAGGGGTAAGGTGCGGGGGTAGCCCAGACCCACCCAGTCTCTGTACCCAAGACCCCCATCACAATTTAATCAGTCACATCTCATCACATCACACCTTCCCCCAGCAGGGGATCCCCTGCCCTACTCCTCCAGGGGGGTTATAGGTTCTTAAGGCATCTCAGGAGGGAGGACGGGAGGGGGCGGGGCGGCGGTAGCTCAGATATAAGGGACCCAGCCGCTGTTTTCGGGTCCAGCCAGCCCACCATGAGTGCCCACCGCCTCCCCATTCTTCTTCTCCATGCCTGGTGGGCCCTACTCCAGCCCCGCGCCGCAACGGTGGCCGCCTTTCCTCTGTGGACACAGGGACAGCCTTCATCACCATCCTCTCTCGCGTACATGATGAGCCTCTACCGAGACCCGCTGCCTCGGGCGGACATCATCCGCAGCCTCCAGGCGCAAGGTAGGCTGCAAGCCTGGCCTCACCAAGCACCCAAGGGCGCACGACCTGGGAGGGGCGCGGTGGCTGCAGCGGGGACTGGGCACCAGGGGAGCTTCAGAGTCTGGTCTTAACGATGGTTGCGCGTGGGCAGGCTCAGGGCACAGCGCTGGTGGCCAAGTCGGAGAGGAACCCAGCGTCCCGGGGACATCGCCTTTGGGGTTCTAGTTTAGGTGGCAGAGAATAAGAGAATAGGGCGAGGCCCGGATCGCACCACTGAGCATCTGGGACCCTCAGTTTGCTCATCTGTAGTTTAGAAATTGCAGGACTTCCTTCACAGACTTACGTTGAGGACTAGGTGACAACACCCCAACGCTCCCAAAAACGCTGGGCACGAACCAGGCGTACAAATACAACAGGTCGTTACTGAGTTTTGTCCCGGCTGCCAGATTTCAAGGATCGGAAATTAGGGATCGGGTGCCGCGCAAGTCCAGAACTCAGGCAGTTCTCACTGCTGGGCCGTGTCAGGTGTCCTGGGTGAGCCCGGGCTCGGAACCTATTTGGATCGAGGTGTGCGTGTGTAGTTGGCCCAGTGACCTGAGTGTCGCTCACCAGAGTAGACCGACAGGTGGGTGCCCAGGAGAGGGAGTACAGACTCGGGACTCCCTTCCCGGGCGCAATCCACATCCCGTCGCCTGGGCAGCTTGGCCAGTCCGCGCCTGTCCTGCGAGGCCAGACGGTCCTCCGCGGGACCCGGACGCAATCCACATCTGCTAATCCGGTCTGACCCGTCGCCCTCCGGCCCTGGAGGCGGAGCCCCTAGTCCCTGCATACAGCGTCTGGGGTGAGACTGCCGGTGACCCTCTCCTGAAGGGTCATCTGGGGACTACTGGCCAGGACATCCCTGAGGTCGAGGCAATGGGAAATTGGTGAAGTGCTCGGCCCCTCCGCCTAGTGTGGGACGGAGGCAAAGCGGGAAAAACCTACCTTTCCAGTTCTCTTCACTTTTAGAAAGTTCTTGAAGGTTTATATAAGTGATGGGACAACCAGGGATTCAGGAAAACTGTTCAGGTCCATCCAATTCTGTTTCGAAGTCGCCTGAGTCCCACGGCACCATCATCTCACTCTTTATTTGCTTTTGTAAATCGGAGGACTTTAGCATTTTAACTATTTGCCAATGGTGTCAACTGCCTCCATTTCAGCAAAATGGCTCTGCCTGGAGGGAGTCTGGGGGAAGATCCGCATTCCAGGCCACTCCTTCCCTCTTGAGTCAGTAGGTAATCTGCCCCATCACAATGGTAGTGGGCTCTGTCAGCTGGAATCTTAGTGCCTGTCTGTGCCTCAGTTGTTCAGTTTAATCCTGTGCAAATGGCAGTCCCAGTGAGGGGTGTGTGTGGAGGTGGGAAGACAGTTCTTGTAAAGCCTTGGCATACGGGAAGCAAAAAGTGGCAAGGACCTCATGATAGCCCCTTGCCTACCTAGCTGAGGACTGGGGCAAGCAAAAGGCCTGAGTTACAACTCTTTCCTTTAGAACTGGAGGTGGCTAAACATGCTAATGATTCTTGCCAAATCCACACTCAGCACACAGTGGGTTTCAGGGTGGCCATGAGTCCCTTCCTCATACCCACACCATTGACCTTTACCATATCAATCGTTTAATAAGCTAGAGCCTACCTCTATCCCAGGAAACCCTGAGGGTGGCCCAAGTGGAAGCAGTTTCTTCCTGCCCTGCCTGCACACTGGTCATCAGTTACGAGCAACCACGTCTACGTACAGGGCCTTGCATCTAGCTACCTGACTGCCACATTTCATTCCTGAGTTTTGTTTAGCACACAACATCCCTTCTTTCTACTAAGGCAACTGAGGCCCAGAGAAGGGAAACCACTTGAGCACTGTCAAACGGGAACCAACACAGGAGAACTCCTCAAGTCCTGGGGGACTCGGGCTGCTGCTCTTAGCCAATGAAGCAGGAACACCTGCTCGGAGAGGCCATTTGCAGATCACAGGCAGGCTGCTAGTACAGGGGCAGGACTGACCACCTAGCTTACAGGGTCAGTGGCGTCTGGGGAGAGTCTCTAGGAAAGGGCTAGTTACTGTCTCCCGAAGTTGCTAATGAGGAGGGAAAGTGGAAATTAACTGAAAAGGCAACTAGAAATGGACAGGGAGAAGCCACCAGAGGCAGATGCTGGAAATTTCCTTGAGCAACTCCCCTAAGCTCAAAGATGTTCTGGGGATGGTTAAAAGCTAGGAGCTACACTGGATCATTCCAGATCCCTGCCTCCTCCAGAACTACTCAATATGCCTGTCACAGAGTCCTTGCTTTGTCTTATCTAATGAAACAAAACAAAAAACACCAGAAAAATGTAAAACATTAAACCTCTAGATTTCCCCAAGTCCATGCATTATTTTGTTGGTGTGTGTGTGTGTGTGTGTGTGTGTGTGTGTGTGTGTTTGAAACAGGGTCTCATGCAGCTGGCTCTGACCTCAAATTCTGATCCTCCTGTTTCTATGTGTCCCCAGTGCTGGAATTACAGGCATGTGCCACCACACATGGCTGTAAAGCAAAGGAGAGAAAAGTAGGCTTGCAAAAAGTAGAAAATCACTTTTTTTTTTCTTTTTTTTTTTCCAGTCAGGGTTTCTCTGTGTAGTTTTGGAGCCTGTCCTGGCACTCTGTAGACCAGGCTGGCTTTGAACTCACAGAGATCCGCCTGTCTCTGCCTCCCAAGTGCTGGGATTAAGGGCGTGTGCCACCAAAACCCAGGTCTCTCTCTCTCTCTCTCTCTCTCTCTCTCTCTCTCTCTCTCTCTCTCTCCATTAGTGTCTCATTCTGTAGGCCAGGTGGGCCACAAACCCACAGCTATTTGAGTGCTGGGATTGCAAGCATGAGTGCCATATCCACTCACTTAATCACTTAAAAAAAATCCATTAATGCACGCTAGTTGGAGACATCCACTATCCCAGTATATATCTCATTGAGTGAGGGCCTCCATCTTGGGTTCTTGCCATGGGGCTGCGTCTGTCCCGCCTATCTCTGTGAAGGATCAGGCACAAGAGGGCAGTGTGAGGATGCTGCAGGTAGATAGGAAACGCTGGATGAAAACAATCTTCTTCTTCTTCTTCTTCTTCTTCTTCTTCTTCTTCTTCTTCTTCTTCTTCTTCTTCTTCTTCTTCCTCAGGAGCAGGTGGGGATAGGGTGGCCAGTGCAGCCTCTGTTACTTGTTCTTCCCGGAGAATTCTGGGGTTTCTGTGACATTTACATCTACCCAGCATGTCTGGAACAAGCTGTCCTGTCCACTAAGAAAAAGCACAGGGCTGAGAGGGTTGCTTGCTCAAGGCTCAACAGGGCAAGTAGAAGCCCAGGGTTAGGAAAGAAGGCCTCAGCTTTAGACTGGGGGGTGAGTGGTGGCTCAGTCTTTTAAACTCCTCTCCCTTCTACTATGCGGCTGCTAGTCTCAATGCATTGCTAGCATCTATGTCTAAATCAAAAGGCATGTTTTGCCTCCTGTCTGCCCTATTGTTTTTCTCTTAAACTCGAATAAAATCGTCCTCGAAGCTTCAGAAAAAACAAAAAACAAAACCACACGGTAGCCACAGAAAAACAAGCATAGTCCCAGGTCTACTGGGAGATCAGTGCGTAAGGCTTCAAATGAAACAGTCCACCCCAAACAAAACAGTCCTTAAAACCTAACGGCTGCAGAATTACCAGCTCTGCTAATTCTGCTAATCCAAGAGGTGGTGCCGTGTATGACGTCATCCATGGCGCAGGCGCAGTGAAATGGCAGTGAGCCAGCGCAGACTGGCAGACTGGAGCAGAATGCCACGCAATGGCAGGCACGGGTTTGGTAGCCCGGGAGGTGGTAGTGGATGCGTTGCTATACGTCCTGCGTGCGGGAAGCGGCTGCGGCCCTGGTGAAGGAGGAAACGCGCAGATACCGACCTACCAAGAACTACCTGAGCTACCTGACAGCCCCGGATTATTCTGCCTTTGAAACTGACATAATGAGAAACGAATTTGAGAGGCTGGCTGCTGGACAACCAACTGAATTGCTCAGCATGAAACGATATGAACTTCCAGCCCCTTCTTCGGGTCAGAAAAAATGGCATTACTGCATAGCAAGAGTGTGTCAACGATTCCATGGCCCAGTTAGAGCATCAAGCAATGCGAATTGAGAATCTGGAACTGATGTCACAGCATGGGTGTAATGCCTGGAAAGTATGTAATGAAAACCTCGTTCATATGATTGAACATGCACAGAAGGAGCTTAAGAAGTTAAGGAAACATATTCAAGATTTAAATTGGCAGCGAAAAAAACATGCAACTCTCAGCTGGATCTAAATTAAGAGAAATGGAGTCAAATTGGGTATCCCTGGTAAGCAACAACTATGAGATTGAAAGAAATATTGTGCAGCTGGAGAACGAGATCTATCAAATCAAGCAGCAGCATGGGGAGGCAAATAAGGAAAACATCCGCCAAGACTTCTGACCTTGGGCAGAAGGGAAGGGAAACCTCAGGCCCCTGAACTTTCTCAGAGCAACTAGTTAGGTGTTCAGAGACTGTGGACTGTGTATACTGTTGTGTTGCTTTATATGTGTGTGTTAGCAAAATAAGGATTTTCAACATGTTGCTATTTTTGTAGCTATAAAAATCTGAGTTTTCAAAATGAGTATGGCTTTAGAATAATGACATATTTTGTAGCAGTTCTTTATTGAAGGCGTCAAATTTTGTAACTAAGCTGCTTTATTTAAGACTCCTAACATGTTTAGGAACTTTGAGTTTATGTTTTTGTTGAATAAAATTCATTTCTAAGCAAAAAAAAATATTTATCTATTTATTATGTACATTGTGTTCTGCCTGCATGTATATCTGCACACCAGAAGAGGGCACCAGATCTCATTATAGATGGTTGTGAGCCACCATGTAGTTGTTGGGAATTTAACTCAGGTCCTCTGGAAGAGCAGCCAGTGCTCTTAACCTCTGAGCCATCTCTCCATCCCATGTGTGTATTTTTCTTTTTTTTTTTTTAAAGATTTTATTTATTATGTATACAACATTCTGCTTCCATGAATGTCTGCACATCAGAAGAGGGCACCAGATCTCATTACGGATGGTTGTGAGTCACCATGTAGTTGCTGGGAATTGAACTCAGGATCTCTGGAAGAGCAGTCGGTGCTCTTAACCTCTGAGCCATCCCTCCAGCGCCCCCCCCCCCCCAATGTGTGTATTTTTCAAGACAGGGCTTTTCTGTGTAGCCTTGGCTGCCCTGGAACTTGCTCTATAGACCAGACTGGCCTTGAATTCAGAACTCAGAGATCTGTCTGCCTCTGCCTCTGGAGTGCTGAGATTAAAGGTGGGAACTACCACCACCCAGTGTCTTTCAGTTCTTACCCACTGTTCTCTGACTGCCCAGTGTGTTAAAAAGAGATGGCTAGAACAGAGATTTCAAGCTTACTCCTAGCTCTTCCTTCTTTCCTTCCTTCCCTCCTCTTCCTTTTCCCTGGCCACGCCCCTCCACAGTCTCAAGCCTAGGTTGGCCCTGAACTCTCAATGAAGTTGGGGATGACCTGGAATTTTTGACCCTCCAATTCTACTTTGTAGGACAGTTTAAGCAGTGCTGGGGATCAAATCCAGGTCTTTGTACTTTCTAGGCAACAGGTTGACCAACTCAGCCACATCCCCAGCCCTTTGGTTACTTTTTCCTTTTTTTTTTTTTTTAATAACCTTTATTTGTGTTTTTTTTTCCTTCATCTCTAAAATGGACTGTATCTGAGTGCTCACACACACACACACACACACACACACACACACACACACACTGTCAGCGTGGTTTGAGAGACTGAGACAGAAGGATGGCCCAGAGTTCCAGGCCATTCTAGGGTAAATATCAGGTTCCAATTCTGCCTGAGTTAGTATGAAACTCCGTATCAAAAGGCCAAAATAAATAAAATGGACTAGATGACCGTACAAGCCAGTAAGGGTGGGTGAGGGTGAGCAGTGGGTGACAGGCAGCCTACCCAGCTGGTGGTTGACAGAACTCCCTCTTACCCTGTTTCCTCCTCCAGATGTGGAAGTGAGTGGCCAGAACTGGACCTTCGCTTTTGACTTCTCCTTTCTGAGCCAAGAAGAGGATCTGGCTTGGGCCGAGCTCCGTTTGCAGCTGCCCAGCCTGGTGGACCTCCCCGCTGAGGGCTCACTCACCATTGAAATTTCCCACCAGGCTAAGCTGGACCCAGAGCAGGCCCCAGCCGACTGCCTGGAGCGAGTTCGGATGGAGCGGTTCACTGTCAGTCCATCTCAGGTCACTTTTTCCTCGGGCAGCACTGTCGTGGAGGTGACCAGGCCACTCTCCAGGTGGCTAAAGGACCCCAGGATACTGGAGAAGCAAATGTCCAGTCAGAAAGGAAAGTGCTGGCATCAGCCCCGAACCCCACCTGTCACTCTCACCAGCACAAATGTGCTCATGCTCTACTCCAACCGGCCTCAGGAGCAGAGGCAGCTGGGTGGTGCCACTTTGCTCTGGGAAGCTGAAAGCTCCTGGCGGGCCCAGGAGGGACAGCTGTCTGGAGAGAGGGGCCGATGGGGCAGAAGGCACCGGAGGCATCACTTGCCAGACAGAAGCCAACTGTGTAGGAGGGTCAAGTTCCAGGTGGACTTCAACCTGATTGGCTGGGGCTCCTGGATCATCTACCCCAAACAGTACAACGCCTATCGCTGTGAGGGCGAGTGTCCTAACCCTGTCGGGGAGGAGTTTCACCCTACCAACCACGCCTATATACAGGTAGGATGCCTACAATGGAACAGGCTGCTAGACAGGGGATGATGTTCAAGGTTTGCATGAGATAACAAGTACCTGGTCATTCAAGTACCTCCATGTTTGCTCCTGTGAGAATGTAGATTGTCACAGCACGGCGTCCTGTTTGGTGGGGTTATACTGGAGCGCTCTCTCTCTCTCTCTCTCTCTCTCTCTCTCTCTCTCTCTCTCTCTCCCCCTCTCTCTCTCAGCACTGAGTCCTGTTCCATGGGGGGTTACCACACACACACACACACACACACACACACACACACACACACACCCACGGCGCGCCGCCAGGCTGGCCTCAAATTCATTACATGGCCCAGGATGACCTTGAACTCTTGCTCCTCTTGCCATCACTCCCCTAGTGCTGGAATTACAGGCATGCATCACCACACCCAGTCATTACAGTATTGGGGATCAGATCCAGGACCTCGAGTATGCTAGGCAAACACGCTACCAACTAAGCTACATCCCCAGCTTTTCCTTGTTCCTGTAATTAGGTGTTGGGAATAGAACAAAGGATCTCTGCTCCTCCAGCTCTGCCACTCTGGGAAAAGACATTCAAAATTGGACTTGGGGACTAGACTAGCCTTCCTACTCCTGCTCATTTCTTGTGTGACATTAAGCTGCTGCTTCTCCAAAGCCTGTCTATTTCAAAGCCAGTAGCATATTTCACAGGCATGGAGTGTGTGTATGTGTGTTTGTGTGGGGGGATCATGAGTTGGTTGCATCTGCAGCATTCAATTATTTATGAAAATAATTTTCTATTTTTGTACCAGATGAAACATCTGTTTCACTTTGGCCAGAAATACTAATTCTCTGCCCCAGCGGTGCGAACTTACTGATGCTCCCTCCTTCCTCCCTTTCAGAGCCTATTGAAACGCTACCAGCCCAACCGGGTCCCTTCCACGTGCTGTGTCCCTGTCAAGACCAAGCCTCTGAGTATGCTCTATGTGGACAATGGCAGGGTCCTTCTGGAACACCACAAGGACATGGTTGTGGAGGAATGTGGATGCCTCTGACAGAGCTGGGGGGAGTGCTGAATCAGCTTGCTCTCCACAATGCTAGAGAACTCCGGGGAGACCCCACAGTGTCTATCCAGGGAGCAAAAATGGAAGAAGGGCTCTGCCTGCCAGAGCTGAAGAGGAAGGCCTGCTCCCTGTGCACAGTCAGGCCTTAGACCTGCCAGGCCAGAGGCTACTGCAGGGAGGCAGAAATGGAGAAGCCTTGCAGGGACTGACTGGACTCCCTGGAACGGGGGTTATGAACTGTGCAAGTGCTTTTTAAACTTTGAAGCCCTTGAAATGGTGTGCAAAGGCTGGGGTATGTTATGTATTTATTTTTGTGGCCATCTGTAGCTTTCCTGTATTCTGAAAAGTGGTCTGTGACCCACTGTCCCTCCTTAAAGATCAGTATAATTTTATTAGATTAAAACTAGCCATTTGGCTCTCCCTGTTTCAAGCTGGGCTAGGGGAGCCCCACAACTTTCTGGCTTGCTGACATTAATGCAATGGTCTTCCTCAGGGGCTCCCTGATCTCTGGTAATGAGTTGTCTAACAATAAAGCACTGTCCAGTTCTATCAGGGCCAGCTGATGCATTTGACCAGAGAGGTGGGTACTTGTCCAAGAGGGACCGGCCATGGTGGACTGTAGAAGCCAGCCAGAGCTGTCAGACGTCTGCTTGGCAGACAGAACCCAAGTCTATTAAAAGTCAGTGAGAATTCACCTCAGGCTCTCAATGTGTGTTTTGGGATCCTGAGGTTCTGATCCATCAGGGATTGGGTTGTGGTCACAGCTTTTGCAAAGCGGCTCTGTGGTGTGTGTGTGTGTGTATGGGGACATTCACTGCCAGGCCTCTCCTTGTGAAAAAAACAGCAGATCCTGATTCCTTTGTAGGGTGTGCCCCTAAGGGCTAGGGAATGACTGTGGCTCACTAGGGACAGTCAGAGCTATACAATGAGATCCTGTCTCAAAACAAACAAAAATGGCCGGGTGTTGGTGGCTGGCGCCTTTAATCCCAGCACTCAGGAGGCAGAGGCAGGAGGATCTCTGTGAGTTCAAGGACAGTCTGGTCTCCACAGTGAGTGCCAGGATAGGCTCCAAAGCTACACAGAGAAACTCTGTCTCAAAAAAAACAAAACAAAAAAACAAACAAAAACCAGCATGAAACCGAGGGCCCTGGGCCTCCAACTGGATTGTCCTCTGAGTCTTCTCCCTTCTCTAAATCCTTAAGCCTTAACGTGTAAGACCTACTATGCTGGGGCCGAAGAGATGGCTGGAGGTTAAGAGCACTGGCTGCTCTTCCAGAGATCCAGAGTTAAATTCCTAGCAACCACATGGTGGCTCACAATCATCTTTAATGAGATCTGGTGCCCTCTTCTGGCCTGCAAGCGTACATGCAAGCAGAACACTGTATACAAACAAATCATCTTAAAAAAAAAAAAAAAAAAAAAAAAAAATTGCTGATGTGTTTTTTTTTCGTTGAGTTTGAGAATATTTTTAAATATGGCATGCAAATAATATTGTTAAAGTTGCTTTCTCCCCCTCTATTAACCAAGTAAAACTTTGCTGTTGTCATCGATTAAATGTAATCTTAGCCTGGAGGTTCAAAATGTTGAAAAGCTACAGCTGCTTGTTCTTTTGGCTGGGGGATGGGGCTGCTTTGGGAGGGGGGCATGAAAGTCCACAGGGGCTCTCCCTCCTGCTAGCTTCCCATCCACTTTGCTCCAGCCTTGGCAGAATCAAGGCAGTGAGACTGGTCCAAGCAGGGACTGGGTTGGGCACAACCTATCCTGGGCTTGACAAAGCTGAAGGCCCATGACTCAGCAGCAAGGCTGGGTCCAAGCAAGCTCTGAGCTGAGTTTAGTCACCAGTGCTCAGGCGTTGGGATTGGAATCAGGATCTCACTCTGGCTCCTACCGGCTTCAAACTCAAGGTATTTCTGTTTCAGATTCTCAAACACTAGGATTACTCACCTCTACCACCATGCCAAACCAAATTTTACTTTTGCAAACGGCCTATGAGGTTCACTTGTCCCAGCTGCTTCCCCGAATGCTAACCCAGAAAGGTCTCATGGACACCACAGCAGTGCTGAGATCCAAGACACTTGGATGGCATCTAGAGGACTAGGCTAACCTAGCTTAGACCAAAGGCTTGACTTCCAGGACTCAAAACCACTATGGAGCTTAAGTTCTTGGAGTGAAGCGGCCTCTTGAGGCTGCAGGAGGCAGGTGCCTGCAGTTCTTACACATCCAGACAGCAGGGCCAGCAGAGCCAAAGACCAAGCTATTCGTGGCTCCAGCTTGTGGGAGTGTTTACAGTTGGCTGTTGAGTGAACTTGCGACAAAGCTCCCTGGTGACAAGGTATTGGGATGTAGGCATGAAGTGATCAACTACGTGTGCTGATCTTGCTTGTAGTGCTAGCTGCAGGACCACCGTGTAGTGCTGCCCTGGCTGGGGGTTTCTGGCTGCCATTGTTAGACAATGGCTCTGGATCTGGTCCACAGCTTGGCAGGATGCCTTGGACATCCCAAAGGACTGTCTCTGAGAACTATCCTATCTGAATGTGGGGCTTTAATAGTTACTTGCTTTCAGGGTAAAGGTCTGGTGTTCTGCAACTGTAAGCAGGGCCAAGAACAGAAACAATAGCTGCCTTACACACACACACACACACACACACACACACACACACACACACACACACACACACACACACACACACACACACGCACACACCCTGGGTCTGGCAGTAGCAGAGGTAAGAGACTGCAGAGAACTGTGACCCTCTGCACCATAACCTGGGTTTATCTCCACCTTAAGAGCCCTTGTACAGCAGGAAGACCACCCCCCCCAAGGTTCTGTAGGTTATCTCAGCTCCATCTTCCCTTTAGTCCTAGGTCCATCTAGTTGCATCTGCTCTAACCAACACCTGCACAGAGGGTCTCCACAGGATGGGGATTCTCTCAAACAGCTGAGCTTAGTGAACCTATCCATGGCCACCAACGTAAGAAAGCCAAGGGAGGCTCATGTATCAGCCTAGAACAGTCATATACCATGCACATCAGATATTTACAATTCATAACAGCAGAATTACTGTTACAAAATAGCAATGAAAATAATTTAAATGGTTGGGGGGGGGTCACCACAACACGAGGAACTATATTAAAGGGTTGCAGCATTAGGAAGGTCTAGAGCAAGACACATATGACGCGGTGACCCTCTCAGAGCAGGGAGAGGCCACCAAGCTCCAGTGCTTACACTCACAGGACCAGAATATCAGTGGTCCATGAGAGAAACAGAAAACAGTTGGCTTATTCTGCCTGGCTCCTCTGAGCTAAGACTTGCCATATGTGAATAACCCTCAATAGTTCACTGGACACAGTTTTGGTGCGTGTGTATGTACGTAGCCCAGGCTGGCCTCCAACTTTTAGCAATCTGTTTCAGCCTTCTGAGCACTGGGGTTACAGGTGTGAACCAAGCATAGTATCTGAAAAAAAAAAAAAAAAAAAAAAGCTGGGTGGTAGTGGTGGCAGGGGCAGCACCACCACACACCCTTGTTCCCAGCACTTGGGAGGCAGAGGTAGGCAGATCTGTGAGTTTGAGGTCAGCCAGGTGGTCTACAGAGAGTTCCAGGACAACCAGAGCTATTACACAGAGAAATCCTATCTTTTTTTGAGACAGGGTTTCTCTGTGTGGCTTTGGAGCCTATCCTGGCACTCGATCCGAGTGCTGGGATTAAAGGTGCAAGCCACCAACGCCAGGGCCAGAAATCCTGTCTTGAAAAACAAAAAATAGAGGTTGAGTTGGGTGACACAAGCCTTTAATCCTAGCACTTGGGAGGCTGAGGCTTGTGGATCTCTGCATTCAAGAGCAGCCTGGTCTATATGAGATGTTCTACGCCATCCAAGAGCTGCACAGTGAGACCCTGTCTCAAAAATAAACAAAAAGCTGAACATACTAAATTCAGGCTGGCTCCGTGGCAGAGTGAGATTGCAGCATATGTGAAATGCTGGTGCACGCCTTTAATCCCAGCACTCAGGAGGCAGAGGCAGGCGGATCTCTGAGTTTGAGGCCAGTCAGGTCTATAGACTGAGTTCCAGGACAGCCTCCAAAGTTACAGAGAAACCCTGTCTTGAAAACAACAACAACAAAAAACAACAACAACAAAAAAAACAAAACAACAACAACAAAAAGGCAGGGTTCAATGCTCAGCACTACAAAACACCAAGTCAATATTCAAGGTCTTTATTTAACTGTAACAGCAACCGTTGGTGAGAATTTTTCCCTGGTTCCAAACACCTGCTAGCTTGTAAGGACAGTAAGAAAACAAACTGGTCATGGAATCACACACGACTGTCTTAAGATTGCATGGAACCCACTGACCATTGCTGACAGTGATGAAGGGAGGTGAGGGGACAGCACATCAAGGGGACAAAGTGGGAGGACCAAGGGAAGTACTGGCAGCCTCTCAAATTCCATTCCACATGGCTACAGCTGCAGCAGTGAACAGGGGACAGTCTATCAGAAAACACCAGGATTCTTAAAATGGACAACCAGGAACCGGGAGTCCTTGGGGCTCTTCAAGTTGCCTTCTTTGAGGCTTACTGGAGCTGGCCCAGGTGCCATCAAGTGGAGCAAAGGCATTGGCGTGAGGCAGTGTGGTTCTGCTGGTGACCCCATGTCCTGCCCTCCAGTCATAACCCCCAGGCCTGGGCAGTTTTTAAGACTGAAACGGAGAGGAAGGGGATGTAGAGGCAAGAATGGGCATTCTGCGCTGGATCCATGGAATTCTCTAAGTTTGCAATGCCCTGGATCCATGGAATTCTCTAAGTTTGCAATGCCCTGGATTTTGGTCTGAAGCCCTGGCAGGAGCTTCCTCTCATGGCCACCCTTCTACCCCAGAAAGGTAAACACGTGCTTGTATTCACTGGGAACTGTTTCAGCTCAGTAGTCTTTTCTACTGGACACACAGTATGGCCCACTAGGGCTACAGGAAAGGCCAAGCAAGCAGAGAGAAACCACAGACCACCCAAGAATTTTGAAAGTTAAGCTCTACCAACAGGCACCAGCTTCCAGGACCTGTCTAAGGTGAAGCTACAGTTTCAGAGGGTGGGGAAGGTATCTTGATTGATCAACTGGAAAAATGAGGATCCGTCAGTCATCCTTACAGTCTTCAGTCAAGTTTCTGTGACTAATGTGGAAACCATTACCAGAGCAGGAAGCATGCCTGGATGATACGCACCGAAGGACTGCCTCAACCCGAATTCCCGTCACTAAAAGCCCAGAGGCAAGGAGCTGTGGGTAATCATGCCCTACTTAGAAGTTCAGACAGAACCCTCTACCCCAAGAAGAAATGGCGTTCCTCCACTACAAATCCCACCTTCCACGGTAAGGATGGGTCAGTGATTGGGTTTTCGCAGATTAATAAATAGCTGCCGTGGGCATGAAGTCCAGAAAACACACTAAAGAACTACATGAAGACAGTGGTGCCTTTCCTTTAGAGGGAACAAAAAGGGTTACACCATACCCACCTAAAGCATCCAGCACCCAAGATGGAGACAGGAAGGAGGTTCCATCCCTGATAGATGGCTGCCAACACTTGAGTCTTGTACACTAGTGACCAACTCACAGTGGCAGTCCATACAAGCAGGCTGGATAGACTCTCAATGGAACACAACTGAACTGCCAAGGTCTGAGAGGCCCAAGGAGACAGCAACACAAGAGCTCCCCATCCCCCACCCTTCAGATTAGAAGGAAACCCACCAACCACTAGTACCTGAAGTACATACTACAGCAAGTATGGCTACAGAAAAGAAAATGCTAGTAAAGACAGCACCAATTCAAACAAGAGCCTCCATCTAAGGATGGGGAGAATGGCTAGCAGGAACAAGAAGACCTTTCATGAGATCTGAGGCACTGGTGAGCTACCTCTTAAGCTCCCCCTACAGGTGAAAACAAGACTGCTGCTTTTTAAGAGCACCAGTCCAGGAGGCAATAGGCTACTTAGCATGCTGCACTGACCAGGCAATCAAGCACATATAGACATCTGCATTCTCAGGTGCCCCTGGCTTATAGAGAAGTTGGTCTGGGTGGGACACCTTGACCAATGCACAGACTCAGGTACCACCTGGCCACGATACAATCACCAGGAGCACGAACTGCTTCCTGTTTTGCAACTCAAGAACCTAACATCCAACATCCTTTGCTTCCTGTCTGACAAGGCCTGCTCCAGTTAAGAAAGCTTGTGTGGCTGCACAGGCATGCCCCCAATTCCTTTTGTCAATTCTGGACTAAAGACAGAAGGGGTAAATGATGCTTAAAGAGGCCATCTCAGAACCTTGCAAGAGCAAGCATTCTTGAGAAGACAGGCAGACACAATGCAATGGATCTGGGAATCTTCATTTCCTGCCACTTCTCTTAAGACAAATGGGTAGCTTTGGGGAAAAATAAGTCTTTTATCCCAGTTTGGTCCCACCTTAGAGGGCTGTTTTGATAGCAATGTGCACCCAGCTTATGGCTGTAGCTATCCTCACTTCCCTGAGGACCACTTTCCTCCTGTTAGGGGCATGGTGGTTTAAAGGCACTGCAACTTTCTTCTTATCCACCTCCTCTGGGATCAGTCACTCAGGAGGAAGCCAGGTGCTGTGGCATAATACATACCCAACAGAGACCCTATGCTAAAGCTCCATGGTAAGCAGCCCCTAACCCTGTTTGAGAGACACTGACAGGTCATGTTCACTATTGTAAGATACTAGGCTTGCAGGTAATTTGTTACACAGCAATAGAGAACTCATATGAACTCTTGCCTAGAAGCCAGCTTTTCCACTCCAGTGCCCTGGAGAAGGCAAGGAAACACCTACTTCAGCAGAACATGAGGACTGGGAACTCAGAAGGAAGGTCACTGCTGGTGTGTCTCCTCCTAGAGCTGGAGGTTCTTGCTCATGTAGACGGACTGTCTCAAGTGCAGATTGCATATCCTTCATAGAAATGGCACACACAGTTACCAAGATTTACATAGCTGTTGTACTCAGATGGGAGGCTGGCAGATTAGGAGCTTATGTCCTCTACTTAGGTCTACAGCTATGAGACTCTCTGAACACCCAGAGGTAACCCTCTATGAACCCTGCCTACTACAAAATGGCCCATGAAGCATGACACAAAGATGCCCTCTGTGTTGGAAGCTTATTTCTTGTCTTGTTCAATCATCTTACAATTATGATTTATGGAGATCAAAGAATGGGTAATGGTGACCTTCATATAAGGTCTGCAACAAGCAGTGAGGGGTCCTGGCAGAGGACATAAGGCTAAAAGACTCCTGCACCAAACAGGTGACACTTCAAGGAATACTAGACATGTCTTCTGATTGAGGGGGAGGGGCACACATGCAGGCTCCCCAAGATGGCAAGAAAAGAGTAAGTTTCTCGATTCTACTCAACATCCTTTCCCAGTTGTGGGTCCAGGAGGCCACTCTGCTGCAAGCAGCCATTCAATGAGGAAGCGGGTGTTCTGCACCCTCACACCTCCTCACTGCAGCTGGAGCCAAGAGTCCACAGGGTGCCAACACCAGTGTGTGAACCATGAGCCTTGCTCCTGAAGAATGAAGCTCCAGGGTACAGAGGTCCTGAGCAAACTGCTTATGCCACTGGCAGCACAACTTAAGTTTTCCCAAGACTCCAGGAAATGAAATTTGGAGTTTAATTAAAAACACAACAGATACATTTAACAAAGAAATAAAACTCTTCTGATTATCAACTTGGAGACTCCAAGAATCCCCAAACATTGGAGACCCAGCTTATTCCTGAGACAGCGACCGTCACAGAGGGTTGCAGTCCGAGCTATTCACATTGTGTAGCAGAAAACAGAACCAAGTTCTGCAGATGTCCTTCCTTTCTTTTTTCTAAAGTCTTCACAAAATAGGGTCTTCCCATGGTTCAAACGAAAAACAAACAGCTTTCTTTCCCAGCCAATGGGGATCTGAAATCTTACTAAGAGGGCTTAGATAGGCATCCAATACAACCAGAAACTCCCAGGACACCAGTGGCTGCTGTACTGTCTTCCTTTAGGAGGATGGATGCATAAGTCTGTCTATCGGGGTCTCTCTCTCTCCTGGGATCACCATGTCGGTCCACAGTCCCAGGAAAGTGCGGTGGGGAGGAGGAGCACGAGAGCAAACAGGTAAAGGAAAGGAATGAAGTTTTTGTCAACAACTCATAGCAAGGCAGACTGATCCAGTTTCACAAACCACCCATTAGTCCCCCAAACTTGAGAGCACAGGAAGGAGCTCAGAAAGAACAGTGAGAGACAAAGGACAGTAGACTTGCCTAGGAACTTTTTTTGTTTTTTAAATAACCTTCCTAATACTGGAAGATGTTTTGTTAAAAAAGTTGCAGTTCAAAATTGTACTGAAAACTTATCTAAAAATAGGTCTGTAGTCATCTTAAAAATAAAAGGTCTCTCCTCTAATAAGAGACAGGTATTATCAGATACCAACATGTTGAGGTACCTTTGATGTAGATTTGGAAAATGGCCTGGTGGAAGAACCAGAAGGAAAGAGAGTGAGGCCTGAAAAGGGAAGGAGGAGGGAAGCAGGAAGGATGAACTACAATGAGAAGGGCAGGGAAACGGGGAGGAACACACTTTTTTAGCCCATGCTTTTCTCTCGGCAGCCAAGTACAAAGCAGATTCAAAGGAGGATATGTGTGTGTGTGTGTGGGGGGGGGGAAGTCAACTTTAAAGTCAAAATATAAAACTGCAGGATAGCAACCTGCTAAGGTCTACCATGACTACTGAAGCTGGCTACTTGTGTGGCTCAGTCCTCCTCAGAAGCCACAGTTGGGCATTCTCAGGCAGACCCACCAGATGGAGGCCACAGCACTTGCACTTCAAATGACTGCTCTGGGAGTAGACAAAAGTCACAGGGTATCTCAGAGTGAAGAGAACTCTTGCCTGCAAGATGCAGGTAGGAAGAACGGCAGACAGGCCAAGACCAGCTGGTCACCCAGGGATCTCTTCAGGAGAGGGCTTAAAAAATACCCGTGCCAATGAATTAGGTAAGGGAACAGGGAGATGAGCAATCACACCCAAGACAGAAGCCTTCTTCCCAGAGAAAAGGGAGACTGATGCCATGTGTCCCAGGAATGCAGTTGGCGCTGCAGGAGGTACAAGAGCTGTGCTCCAGTACTGAGGACAAGCATCTCCAGGGGTAGGGCAAGCAGCTCATTGTTTATCATTACCCCAAAAGGTTTAAAGATCCCACACCCAGCACTGAATCACCGATGGGATGCAGGGAGGGAAGACAGAGTCAGTACAGGCACAGCAGCGGGCACCAAACATCCTTCTTCCCCAGCCACCACAGGTAGAGAGATGCTTCTTAGGGAGTCCCTGGACTTGGGATGAATCTGAAGGGAGCAGGAAGATTCTTAGGAAACGACCAGGGAAGCTGTAGGGACTGCTTTCCTCTATGGGTCAATCGATCAGTTCAACAGAGTAATCCAAGGGCTTTCATCCTAACCATAACTGTGCAGGGGCAGGAGAGAGGGGAAGATGTGGTCAAATGGAGCACATTTCCCATCATTTGGCACCCAGAGGGAGGGGAAAGGGAACTGCTGCTTCTCGGTTCACTGCGTTACTACTGGCCCAGTCAGGTCACACGCAGTCTCCTTCAATTCTGCAGCAATCAGATGTCCATTTCAAACTGAGCCTCATCTCCTGGTTAGAGGGAAAGAAATGAGCAGTTTAGTACAAAAGTAAATGGCAAAGTGGTTTTCAACATCTTTTTCTACCTGCAAAGGGCAAAACTAATACACACACTTACTCCTGAGTGTAACACTATCGCTCAAATTCAATACTTAAATTTTGGGTGAGCCTGGGATACATAGCAAGACCCTGTCTTAGCAACAAACCGCCATTTATTTTGTTTTGACTAATCTCAAATGGGGGTAGGTGTGCAGAGGGGAGTGGTCACACTAGGAAAGGTACAAGGGGATATTTCCAGTTGCTTTTCCACAGACCAACCACACAGCAGCTCCTGGTCACTCAAGTGAGCACTATTCTGGAGCCTCTGAACAAACACTTGCAGTGGGAACAGCAGCTTACACCCATAATTCAGGCACTCAGGAAGCTGAGGCAGGAAGACTACTGCAGCAAGTCTGAGGCCAATCTGGGCTTCATGGTGAATTCTTTATAGCCTTGGCTAAGAGCAAGACCTTGTTCCCCAATCCTCCACCTCAAAAAACCAACGAAACAAAACGAAAACAAAAAACTTCAATTGGAGCTGCAGAGAACATGAAGTACAAAGTCTTCTCTCTTCCTCTCCCTCTCTGAGACAGGGTTTCTCTGTGTAGCCCTGGCTGGTCTCAAACCGAGAGATCCACCTGGGATTTAAGGGTGTGTGCCGCCGCCACCTGGTCAAGTTTATTTCCTGAGGTTGCTGGAAACAGGTGGCCTAAGATTCTGCTTTGGGGTGTATGTGTGCATGTGCACACTTGTTCATGCAACGAGGTTGCAGGGGCAGTATGTGTGTGCAACTGTGTCTATGTGAGGGCGATCCCTAGTAAATAAAGACTCCTCCAGGCATGGTTCTAATTCACTTTTGGGTTACCATCCTTTTTTAAAAGACTGGGTCTACTTAGGTAGCCCCGGCTGGCCTCCAGTTTACAGAGATCTCCCTGTTTCTGCTTCCTGAGTGCTGGGACTGAAGGCATAAACCACTACATCTGGCTCCCATCCCGATTTGTTTTTCCCCAAGCAACTAGGTGGAAACTGAAAGCATTTTAGTAGATGTTTAGGAGGAGAGGAAACAGACTGACAACTGCAATCAGCTGTGCATTGATGAAGCAACTTTTGCCAGGCTGCAGTAAACTGACAGTCCACCCCAGTGTCACGCCCGAGCCCAGCCCCTCACCAACTGCATGCTTCCTGTCGTGATTGTTCAGGTTGTTCAAGTTGTTCACTTCTACTTTGGAGTCTTCAATTAAGGTGCCAGGGCTGGTGACTCCAGGGATATTGGGCAGATGGCAAGGCGGGGTCTGTGCCATGGGAGAATTGCGTCGATCCAACAGAAACTTTCGGTCATAAATGATTCGTGTTCCTAAAACACAGGGTTGAAGAGTTTCAAATAAATTAAAGCAGCATCAACACAATGACTACTGAAGCTGGTTACTTGTATGGCTCAGTCCTCCTCAGAGGCCACAGCACTGGCACTTCAAATGACTGCTCTGGGAGTAGACAGAAGTCACGGGGTATCTCAGAGTGAAGAGAACTCTTGCCTGCAAGATGCAAGTAGGAAGAACAGCAGATAGGCCAAGACCACCTGGCATCCCTTCAAATGCCACCTAACCCTTAAAGGCATCAATTCAGCCAAGAGGAGAGCCTACCCTCTCCCCATGAAGAGGGTAAGGTGCTCTGCCCCCCTGGAAACTCCTGTTGGTTCTTCAACACCCAACTCCAATGCCAGTTCTTCTAGGAAGCCACCTTCCCTCCCTCCCCTTCATCCATTCTTTCCCCATCACTCAATAAGGCCCCTCGTAGGGACCCCTACTCATGTATGAGCCTGTCTACGGACTTCAAGCTCTGTATGCCAACTGGGTCTTACTTATTTTCAAAACAACCTCTCCACCTCGTTTCCTTTCTCCTTCTCCTTCCCTTAAAGAAATTTAAGCTAGCTTGGGGTTTTGGATCTAAAGCTTATCTCAGCCCTTACCTACTAGACCAACAACTTAACTCCCAAAGAGGTTTTTCTTTTTAAATTTATTATTTTATGTGCACTAGTATTTTGCCTGAAAATATGTCTGTGTAAGGGTACTGAACCCCTGGAACTGCAGTTACAGACTGCTCTGTGGGTGCTGGGAATTGAACCCAGGTCCTATGGAAGAGGAGCCAATGGTCCTAACTGCTGGTTCATCTCTCTAGGCACCATCAAGATAAATTGCTTTTTTTTTTTTCCTGTTTTTTGAGATAGGGTTTCTCTGCACCACCACCACCCAGCCTAAGATAAATTTCTAAATGAAAGAATGATCGAATGAACAAGTATGTGAAAAGGTAGATAACCACCTTCTATTAAAGGCTACCCAAAGAAGCTTGTAGGCTGACCTCCTCCCCAGAGAGACAGAACACCATATTTCTTTAAACATGGCCCTAAGGATGGCTTAGCAGATAGAGGCACTTGCTGCCAAGCCTGGCCATCTGAGTTCAATCCAGGGTCTCACATGGTGGAAGGAGACGGGTGACTCCCAAAGTTTGTTCTTTTATAAAACAAGATTTGAGCCTGGCCTTGGTGGCGCACACCTTTAATCCCAGCACTCGGGAGGCAGAGGCAGGAGAATATCTATGAGTTTGAGGCCAGCCTGGTCTACAGAGCAAGTTACAGGACAGGCTCCAAAGCTACACAGAGAAACCCTGTCTCAAAAAACAAAACAAAAACCCAAGATTTATTATTGTTAATTGACAAATGACTATTTTACCAGCATGTATGTGAATGTACTGAATGTACTGAGAGGCCAGGAAGCACTGGGTCCCCTAGAACTGCAGTTACTGATGTTATGAGCCACCATACGGGTGCTGGGAGCAGAACCCAGGTCCTCTCGAAGAGCCTTCAGTGCTCTTAACACCAAGCTATCTTTTTAGTCCCAAAAGGTGTCCTTTGCCATATGCCCAATGTGTGTGCCATGACACACACATAAAATAAATAAAATATAATGAAACAAACACACCACTTCCAGTCAGAGTCAGCTGAGTATGTTACCTGGCAGACTCGGGAAAACCTGCTGCTTACAAGTTGTCTTATAATCAGTGTTTATAACCTTTGACTTGAGCCTGAGCGGGGACTGCTAAGTCAGCCTGGACTACATCATGAGACCCTACCTCAAGGCTCTCCACTACACACAAAAAAAATAAATTAGTAAGTAAGTGCATGCCTCAACCTCCGACTCAAGTTGCCAACAGGTGCATATCATTGGGGGCTGGAGAGATGGCTCAGTGGTTAAGAGCATGGGCTGCTCTTCCAGAGGTCCTGAGTTCAGAAACCACATGATGGCTCACAGTCATCTATAGTGGAATACGATGCCCTCTTCTGCCATGCCGATAGAATACTCATATACATAAAATAAGTAAATCTTTAAAAAACAAAAGGTGCATAACATCACCAAATCTTCAGAGAAACACGAAGCGAAACCACAAGAAGAGATCACTCTATACCTGGCAGAATGGCCATTATCAAAACCACAAGAGATAAGTGTTGACCAGGGTAAGAAAAGGGATATGTTAAAGGTACAGTTCATAGGGAACACTTTGGAAAATGGGATGGATGGATTCCCAGAAATTAGAAACACCATTTCTACAGGGTTTACCAATCTCACCTAGGGTGTAGCTCCAAGGAAATGAAACTGGTAGCGCAGAAAGACTGAGTTACTCATAATGGCAATTGACTATCTATCCGAAGAATGGGGGGGGGGAGGGGGAGGCAGGAGAACTGCTACCACCAGTATGAGGTCAACCTGGCTACAGGAAGTGAGGCTTTGTTTCAAAAAGCCAACAAAACAAGCCGAGTATAGTGGCTCAGGCCTTTAATTCCAGCACCCCAGAGGCAAAACAATAAACAAAGTAAACCAAAAGACGCCAACAAAAATAGGATAGGGAGAAGTAAAATATTCACATCCTCTGCTTGAAAAATAAGCTAAAGTAATAATTCTGACAGACATCTGAATTATGAGCAATAAAGCATCTAGATTATAGAAGACTTTGACTATGAAGTTTGAGAGTCGCTGACATGAAATGTATCTGTCATCCCTGCACCCAGCATGGTTACATGGTGCGTTTGATGCCAGCTAGGAGTACAACAAAAACAGCAATAAGAGCAAAACCCTCAGACCCTATTCAGCCACACTCTGTGCAGCTGACACTGCTACACCTAACATACTGTGCTAAGGTTGGCCCTGTGCTCCTCCTCCAAGTTCCTGTAAGGTGTTCCCAGGACACAATGCCACAGATGGCCTGAAGGTTTCTTAGTGCCGGGGTAGAACGACAGGAGAAAACAGGTGGGAGAAGCAAGCTCGCAGTCATCCCTATTTAGGAGGACACTAATCTCGGCATCAGAGGCCAATCCCTCACGCTCTCAGCTCTCATCTCATCGGTACTCAAGCTCCCCACCATTTAGTCCCATCAAACTGCGTGCGCATCAGAGATTCTACACTGGAACTGTGTGCATAACAGATTCTTTTCTAGTCATCCCAACTTGATACTTCCAACCTGGTTGGAAGCCCAAGATCTGCTCATTATTATGCTAACGTAGATTAGGGGCCAAGGGCTGAAAGGGGTCGCAATGGCTTTTTGTAACAAAGGGAGAGAGCTTTAGTGGATTAACTCTACACATTTGTCTGACACCCCTATTTTTGACTAACATATGTATGGGGTATAGTAATGTTTTAATTCATATGGACATTAGATAATTATCACCTTGGGGCATTTAGCACATCTACTACCTTAAACTTTTTTAAAGATTTTTATTTATTACGTATACAATGTATATCTGCACACCAGAAGAGGGCACCAGATCTCATAACGGGTGGTTGTGAGCCACCATGTGGTTGCTGGGAATTGAACTCAGGACCTCTGAAAAAGCAGTCAGTGCTCTTAACCTCTGAGCCATCTCTCCAGCCCCCTTTTCCTTGTTTTAAAAATGTATTTATTTTATGTGTATAAATGTTTTGCCTACCTGTATGTATGTGCACAATGTATGTGCCTATGAGTGGTGGTGAGTCACTTTTGAACTGGGTCCTCTCCAAGAACAGCAAGTGTTCTTAACTGCTGACCCATCTCTCCAGGCCCCATATAGTTGGTTTTAGACAGAGCCTCCCTATGCAGCCCTGCTGGCCTTGAACTTGGCATCCTCCTGTCTCAGCCTTCTAAATGCTGGGATTACAGGTAAGCACTCCCCATTCGGCTGAAATGTTTCTTTTACTTATAGTATTATGTATGTACATGAACAGGCATTTATGTGTCATGGTACGAATGTGGTGGTCAAAGGACAATTTTCAGGAATCTTCTCTCCTACCATGGGGGTCTCAGGGATTGAACATTAGATTTGGCAGAGAGCATCAAACTTGTGATAGTACATTAAAATCCTGTCTTTTAACTACCATTACACAATAATCTAATGAGCTGTTATATTTAAATTTATAAATTACAGGACAGTAGTCCTCCCTTTTCTGGAGTTTTACGGAGAATTCCAAAGATTTCTTAAGTTTCAAATAACTTTCATTACAACAGCATAGTTTCAATTATTTTATCATCAGTTACTACTAATCTCTTGCTGTGCCTAACTTGCAAACATAGATCATCACAGGGACTCACCGGGGTAATCAGCTGCCATAGTTTAATGCTGCCTGTAGTCCCAAGCACCTGAAGGATGTTTTGAAATCCACCCCCATGATCAGGGGAGATGCCAGTAATGTGCACATCACATTTGTTAATCTCACAGACAGGTGGCTGTGGCTATTACGAATGACACTGATTTAAGATCTAGATATCAATGTACAGGGTGGACAGTCATTCGCTGGAGCACGTCCCAATATAGAATGGCTAAGTCACATGCTGTCTGAGGAACTGCTGAGACTTCACACTCCTGTCAGCAGGGTGAAGGCTCTGATTTCACACAATGCAGTTTACACTGCTAAGTCTCTTTCATGCTAGCCATCCTAGCTGCTATCAAGTGATTTCCCCCTGTATTGACCTACTTTGCATTCCCTGATGGCTAATTATGCTGGCTCATGTGCTTACTGGCTTTTCCAATATACATCACCTTTTACTATGTTTTAATCACCTCCTCAATACACCCACACACACAGCTGAGGACTGAACCCACAGGCTTGTATGCCTGAGGCAGGTGCACACACACAATTTGTAATCTTTTTTCTGCTTATATATTTTCTCCCTTGATGGTTCTCTTTCTTCTCCTATCTCTCTCCCTCCCCCAGTCCTGTGGAACGAACCCAGGGGCATGTGTTAAGTGATGTATTCTTTGAAGCATAAAAAGAAAACAATTTTTTTAAAAGATTTTATTTATTTATTATGTATACAACATTCTGATTCCAT